AGGATCAAGGATATCATTGCTCTGTGTTAATTTCTTTTCACTTTTTTTTTTTTTTTTTTGTCAGTTTAACTTCAGTCACTTTATTGAAAGCAACGTGTCAGTGTGTAATCTTGAAGACCGGCACCCTGCTCTATTTCTGCAAGCTTCTGCATGGGATTCCCGTATTAACAGGTTCATGTGGCAGGTGCCGCATTCAAGCACTCACTGTTAGTCCCATGTGGTCTGCCCTGCCTCACTCTCTCTCCTGAAAGCTTACACCACTTGCCCTATCACTTTATTATATCACTGGTCCATTCCTATGTGCAGGCTGCAGCTGGCACCCTTGCCTACACTGGAGGGACACTTTCCTTGTTCAGGCTGATTTGTTTCCTTAAGGGAGATAGTTTTTAGGCATCACCAGTGCCTAAAAGCCACCCAGTAGACCCTCAAAAAAGGAACAAAAAAATCAGGGAATGCGATGGGCCTTGGATCTGAGAAGTCTGGTTGTGTGAGTCCTGACTTCCTACTCCTATCAACTAATAACTAGTAACTAGAGAAGATTTATTTAGGCTTCTGATTCTGGACGCATAACGATCAGTGGCCCTCTGTCTTTGGGACTGTCATGGCATGTTGTGGTGAAAGTACTGAAACGTCATTTACCTGGTGGCTGAGAAACAAGGGAAAGGATAGAGCAGGGCGCCACAGTTTCCTTCAAGCATCCCAGTGACCTAACGACCTCCCATTTGGCCACATGGACATTTTGAGTGGTAGGGGAGCAAAGTGTTTAATTCATCTTACATTTCCAGGTCACAATTCATCACTGAGGGAAGTCAGGGCAGGAACTCAAGGCAGGAACATATAGGCAAGAACTGATACAGAAGCCATGGAGAAATGCTTTTCACTGGCTTGCTGTTTAGTTCTTCATTCAGCTAGCTTTTTTTTTTTTTTTCATCTTTCAACAGAAAATTTAATACTCCACAACCAGAAAAAAAATGAAGTATAATCAATATGTTAGTATAAATACATGGCTTAGAAAGCACACAATTTTGAAAGCTAATTGGTTAAAAATTAAGTTTCCTATGTGTCACAATGACTCAAAAATGGTAGAACAAAGGTACAACTATTAAGTTTCTATTTATAGCAAAAAGAAGGACAGCCCACGATTGATGAGATCCAATATAACTTTTAAAAATTTCATATATGCTGGCATGTGCCTTCAATTCCTGCATTTGGGAGGCAGAATCAGGTTAATTTCTGAGAGTTTGAAGTCAGCCTAGTCTACATACTGAGACCCTGCTTCAAAAAGTAAAAATTAAAAAAAATCATGGGTTTTTGTTGCAACCCGCGTAATCGTCTCGCCAGCAAGAACGCACACGGACAACAGGATCCTTCTGCAGCAAGCTTTATTGCAGGCAAGCGATGAGAGGAGGAAGAGCCCGAGCCCAGGAATGGCACTGCTTATATACACCCTAAGGCGGCGTGTGGTCTATGATTGGCTGCTTACTCATTACCTCACAAGACGCCCTGGGCTGGGCCAAGACTTGGCGCACTTTTGCCCTTGTGCATGAGTAATATTACTTGTCTTCCAGGGTCAGAGCCGGATGTCGGCGCCATCTTGTAATGGCGTTTTGCCCGGGCACGCCCAAGCGGCTCTCCACAGGTTTTATTTTCCCTCAAATTGAACTTTAACAAATAGTTATAACCATACATAGACATTTTCCTACATTTTTTTTCTAGTAATAAGTGTAAATGATGCCAAAGTTTATAAGGGAAGTATTTTCCTGTAGTACTTAGCATCTGGTAAAGTTTTGCAAATTATGTCAACAATATTCAGTGTTTTATTTTCATTAGGTCTATTTTAAATACCTTTTTATTTTTTTATTTTATTTAGACTGTTTTTTAAATTTTTTATTCATTTATTTATTTATTAATGTACATTGGTGTTTTTTCTGCATGTGTAAGGGGTTCAGGTCCCCTGGAACAGGAGTTATGAGATAGTTGTGAGCTGCCATGTAGGTGCTGGGAATTGAACCTGAGTCCTTGGAAGAGCAGACAGTGCTCTTAAACACTGAGCCATTTCTCCAGCCTACCTTTTTATTTTTTACATTATAATTTTTTTCATTAATTAACTTTATATTACGTCTTAATCAGCACTTCCCTTCCCTCCTTTCCTTCCAGTCCCTCCCTTTCCCTTCCCCTCCTCCCACCCTTCTCTCCTTTCCTCCTCAGAAAAGGGGAGACCTCCCATGGATATCAACCTGCCTTGGTATGTCAAGTTGCAGTAGGACTAGGCACATTTTCTCCTATTGAGGCCAGACAGGGCAGCCCAGTTAGGGGAAAGGAATCCAGAGGTAGGCAAAAGAGTCAGAGACAGCTCCTGCTCCAGTTGTTAGGGGACCAAGCTGCACATCTGCCATACATGTGTAGGGAGCCGAGGTCTGTCCCATGCATGCTCTTTGGTTGGTGGTTCAGTATTTGTGAGCCCCAGTGGGCCCAGGTTAGTTGATTCTATAGGTTTTCTTATGGTGTCCTTCAACAGTTCTTCCCCTTCTTCCTCAAGGTTTCCCAAGGTCTCTGCATCTGTTTCCATCAGCTGCTGGGTAAAGCCTCTCAGAAGACAGTTATGCTAGGCTTCTGTCTACAAATACAGCAGAGTATCATTAATAGTGTCAGGGCTGGCTCTCTCTCATTGGGTGGGTCTCAAGTTGGACCAATCATTGATTGGCATTCCCTCACTTCCTGCTCTCTCCCTGTCCCTGAGCACCTTATAGGAAGTAAAAATTATGGATCAAAGATTTTGTGACTGGGTTGGTGTTCTCATCCCTCCATTGGAAGTCTTGCCTGGTTATAGGAGGTGGCCATTTTATGTTCCATGTTCCCTATTGCTAGGAGTCTTAGCTAGAGTCACCTCCATGGATTCTTTGGAGTTTCCATTGTCCTACTTTTCTAGCTCATCCCAGTGACGGCCCCCATTCCAGTCCTCTCTCCAAGTTCTCTCTCCCTCAGTCCTCCCCGCACTTGATCCTTCCTGTTCCCCTCCCCATCTCCTCTTCCACCCAGTTTACTCCCTCCATCCACCCTTGATGTCAGTTTTATTTCCTCTTTTTAGTGAGATTCAAGCATACTCTCTTGGGCCCTCCTTGTTTCTTAGCTTCTTTGGGTCTGTGGATTTTGGCATGGTTATCCTGTACTCTGTGGCTAATATCCACTTATTAGTGAGTACATACCATGCCTGTCTTTCTGCGTCTGGGTTACCTCACTCAGGATGACCTTTTCTAGTTCCATCCATTTGCCTGCAAATTTTATGATGTCATTGTTTTTAATAGTTGAGTAATAGTCTATTATGTAAATATACCATTTATAGATTTTTTTATATCCATTCTTTTGTTGAGGGACATCTAGGTTTCCAGTTTCTGGTTACTGTGAATAAAGCTGCTATGAACATAGTTATAATTACAATATTTTGTGTGGGCACTTCAGAGCCTTGGCTCAGCACCAGAGCACTGGCTGCATACTCTTAACAGCTCTACGATAGAGTTAGGAGACAATTCTATAGCCAAGCTTCTTCCCATCAGCTCAGTTTCTTAGCTCTGAGAGCTGCAGCAAATTTATTCAACCTCTCCATCTGTGCCTCAATTTTCTTATTGTGTGTCATATAACGATAGAAACTACTTAGGGTCATAGTGAGGGTTCAATGAACCAGTAAATAGTAAAGGCTCGGTGTCTGGCACATGGAAAATGTCCCTAAAATCATAGTGATCATCATCATTAGCCATCCACAGCCCCAGCAGATTCACCACGTGACTCATGCCCAGTGCTTTCTGAAGAAATGGCTGATGCCATCAGCAGCCACTGGCCCTTAGAGACTGAGATGGTCTTTGATGAGTTCTGCTTCAGGTACATAGTGTCATATGCAAGTAGCCTGAAGCTATTTGGGAGTTGGAGAATGGGTTAGAAGCTCTGCTCGGGAATGTGTTCTGTGGAAGAGACCACTTATATTTTTATTGGCTTGCATTTGTTTTGAACAAATGAGTGGCCTTTGAGGGGATAGATGATCCATAGCAGAGGGACTAGACATGTGCTTTCCCCCCACTACAGGAAGATCTTGGTAGGCGCTAGTTCCACTGAGCCCACTAAGATACTAATTTAACCTGATTCAGATTGAAGAAGGATTTGGACCGTAGTGCTGAGAGAACACGGCTGGCCTTGTGGAAATGGTTCCCAGATTCTGAGGGCCTGCATCAGCACGTGGCAGCGTCTTACAGTAGTTGTGGGCTTGGACCACCAGTGCCTCCCAGACAAGGCAGGTTCCTCAGGGTGGCATTTCTTCCTGAAGCCTGTAATGTGGACGCAACTGGCTGTTTCCACACTGGTCCAGCATGTTAGGCCACACCCATTCTCATCCAGGTCCAGGCAATTTGGTGGCTGGGGAGGGGGCTGGCTCTCCCAGCCTGAGGATTTGAAATGTTGCCTTTGTGAGACAGGGATCTCCAGAGGCTGTGTAGGTGAAGGGGTGAGGAAGGGTAACCCCAGGCAAGGGGACTCACTTGAGGAAAGTTAGAAGCAAGGAGGAGCTTGCTGAGCTCAGGCTAGTGTTGCTATGGAGACCAGAGGGAAAGGAAACAATGGTTAGGGTCCCCGGAGAAGTTTCAGGTCCCGCGATGAAGCTTTTGCTTGAGGACAGGCAGCGAGGAGCTTAGAGCAGGTGGTAGGGCAAGCTCAGACGTCCTTGCTTAGTCCTAAAGGCATCTGTCTGTCGTTCCTTCTGGATGTTGTTGCCTGGGGAACATGTGAAGTGTGCTGTCCCGAGAACATCTTCGCTTGTGCCCAGCTGAACCCCCCCCCCCCCCCCCGGTCCCCCAGTTACCCTGAAGGGACTAAAAGGCATGGCATGGTGGCCGAGAGCCCGCCTGCAAGGCTGGACCTTGGAAAGGCAGTCGTGTAAATGTTTCATGAACTTCACTCCGCGCTCCTGCCCTGGCTGAGAGCCTGCTAATAAGCCCACGCTGCAGAGGGGCAGGTGTTGCACTGGTTTCTGTAGGATCACCAGAACGGGGAGAGTGGGGCGAGCTGACAGTACCTCCTGTAGGCTGAAGGAGGCAGGAGGGGCTGGAGCTGGCCCCTGGCGGCTGCTGCTCTCGGGACCCTCCTGCACTGGAGCTCACTTCAGCTTCTCCAGCTGCGGCCAGGGAGACTGCTCACCCTGAGCCTGGCTGCGGGAGGCAACCGCCACAAGCTGCTGCTCAGCTTTTGCAAGGGGCTGGATTCCTGACCAACCAGCAATCCGTCACTGAGACTTGCTGATTCTGGTGCGAGAGGAGAGGGTTTTCTCTTCTTGGAACACCTGAGCTGGGGCTCAGCGCCTTTCCGATTTTAAGTAGTTCCCTCCATGAGAACTGAATCTCAAGTGTTCCCCAAGGGCAAATGCAGTGCCTGGGCTGGAGAGCAGAGAGGATGAGAGCTTTTGAGGCTGCCTGCTAAGGGCTCTTCGGAGGTACCCCTCGCCCCGATTCAAAATGCCGTTTAAAGCATTTGATACCTTCAAAGAAAACATTCTGAAACCTGGGAAGGAGGGAGTGAAGAATGCCGTAGCAGATTCGCTGAGGATCTTACAAAGGTAAACTCTGAACTCAAACTTTAGGCTAATTTCTTAGTAGTTTCATATTGCCAACGTCTGAGATATTTCCGCGTGTTTATGGGGAGGGGATGGGTCAGATTAGATGGTTTCTGAAGCCTCTTCTAGAGCCAAGTTTATGTCTGGAGACAAAAAAGACGCATCGAAAGTATCGCGTCTCGCCTAGCAAGCACAAGATCTAGGGTTCAATCCTCAGCACTAGGATGGGGTGGAAGAGTTGGTTCAAGCTAGGGAAGTACCCAGGCAAGCACTCTGTTTCTCACTTAGCGCTAGCACCCACAGCTGGTGGGATTATTGTACGTGGGCTGCTTGTCATGGGATCAAAAGGAATTTTGGAGGCAGAATTCCATGCTGATTCAGTAGTAATGATGTAGTTGTGCTTTGAGCTGAAATAACTTGAGATTTTTCACTATAAATGATAATCAGATATTTGCAGTAGTATTTCTTTTTTAGTTTTAAACCCAAAATATATAAATGTCTCTTCATATCATTCTTAAAAACAAGAGTGGTTGCAAGGCAGTTCGAAGATGGTAACTTAAGCATTAGTATTCTTTAAGACAGAAATCTTATATAGTGGCAGTGGGAAAATTCAAAGACTCAATGAATTCAAAGAGATGGCTAGTCCATGAGGAAAAATATTTTAATCTAAAATACATTACTAGTAGCAGCAGTATTTGCTATGTACGAATGACACATTTTAATTTGTCACACTTAATGTCACATTTTAATTTGTTCAATAGTCAATGTCTTCTCAGGTTTTGTGGATGAATTACTCAGTAGTCATTATGTGCAAGATAACATGATTCTTTTATTTCTCTGATATAGGAAATGTGAATACTATCCTTGCTATATTTTTTGTGTGTTTTGGATAATTATTTTTAATGCTATTGTGAAGAAAGACATTTGGCTTCTTCTTTTAGCTTTTTTTTTTTCTTTTTTAAACACAAATTTCAAAGCTTTGGTGTTTAAAAGGCCACTTCTACCTGATTACTTCTAGGTAATCAAGATGATGTCCGAGAATCTTTCTGTCTCTTGTTTCTCTTGTTTTTATGGCATATGTTCCTCTTGGTGCTAAGTTTTTCATTGTCTCTCTGCTGATCAGGGTTCATCCCATAAGAGGATGGAGTTAGCAACCTTCTTACTTTGTTAATTAAAAACAAAAAGGCTTCCCTCTGAGATGCCGGAGATCAGCATGTGCAGATGAAAACTCATCTCAGTGATAGCACATAGGCCAGCCAAATATAGAAAATGATTATAATATTTTAAAATGAGTGTTTCGTCCTCCTGCTGATCCCTCTCCAGGCAGCATCTTATTGTGGTGGCACTCACTTGATTATAAATGCAAAAGGAAAGCGCACCAGTGTCATTGGCTTATCCAAGGGATAACAAGGAAAAGTCAGGAGCGAAAATCCCGGCTTTGGACCTGAGTCATCATGGCCATTGCACCCTATGCCTAGCCTATGAAGACTTGACAAAAAGTCCTTAGTCATCAGATAAGATGACTTTGAATCTCAATTAAGTAGTTACCCATCCATCCCTCTCATGATTCCATTCTTCCCATGAGTGAAATATGGTCAGATTCTGTCCTCAATTATTATACACTGGACTTCATCAAAAAGAAGGGGAGGTTGTTTCCCATCCTACTTTGAATGTATTTAAGTGTAAACAATCTTCCACTTGATAGAGTTTTTGGAAACTATCATTTTTGAAAATAGGAAATGTCAATCCTAAGAGTGGTTGCTACAGTTTGGCTGGATAATTTGCATAACGAGATCTTTGTTTACCAAGCCAGCTGGCTCAGGTTCATGACTGAATTACTAACTTCCAAGTCACACAGTCACAGCTTGAAATGCAATTGTGCGTCTGGGGCTCTTTGACCAGTGCCTGGAGGATTGTACCATAGAACAGCTAGCCCGACGCTGGTGGAGAGCACACTAAACAATTGCCAGACAGTGTCATTGCTGACATAATAGGAATAAGTAAGTGAATGTGACATAATTCAGAATAAGCAAATAAATGAAATTGAAGACTCAGTGTGTTTATCTCTGGACCTTAGGTGGAAATTGCTGGCCAGGAGAGGAAGGAAAAATACTACGTGATCCTCAGTACTAGTGAGCTTTATGTCAGAATTACCCACTGCCACAGCCTATGCAATTATATGCCAAGTGTCCCTCCGGGAGCTCAGCATACAAAGGGCATTTCTTCCTTATCTTGTGGTTTTTCACATAAAGCCAGGCAATAGAATCCAAGCTTAACAATAAAACAGTGCGTGAGCTATTTTCTATTTACTTGGGCATTAAGAGGGAAGCCCTGCTTTTAACCCTGCAAGTGTAGGGAGTTACAGGCAGAGTCCCATCATAATGTTTAGGACCAAGAGTGCCTTCTTAATTTGAATTCTTGAGATGTTTTTTCAATCATGGACTGCTTCTCCTGGTCAGGAGTGTGGCTGCCAGGCAGGGAAGCCTTTGAGACTTCACGCATGGGGTTGATTACAGTCAGGCATTGTTAGCCTTCCTAGAGAATGGTTTCTGGCAAGAAGCAGCTGAACTGAAGCAGCTCATCTGAAGGCTTGATGAGAGTTTAGAAGAAGTGTGGAGTAAACGAAGATGCCCACACTTACAGTGGAGCCTTAGCCTGACAGTTGACACATATATAGTTGAACTTGGGATGAATGTCCCAAAATTAGCATGCAAATTTGTTCAGTTCCAGTGACAATGAGGAAGCACACTGTCCTGAGCTGGAGGGATCCAGTGACAATGAGGGCATCCCATAACTGTTCATCCATAGCACTATAATAGCTACGGAAAATGCATTCCTATTTCAGATGTCGTAATTTATTTAATATTATTAAAAACCCCACGAAGAAAAGACTATTACCACTGCAGTTTTACAGATGAAGAAATCAAGGCACAGAGAGGTTCAGTAACTTGTCTAAGGGCACAGAGCTTATAGGTATCATAGCCTGGATTTCAAATTACATGGTGACACCAGCCATGGCTATTAAGCCATGTCAGACTATACTCCATCCATGCTCAAACATCCCACAAAGTTCTTCTTTAATGTCTTGTCAGTCCACTCTGTACTATACAGACCTCCTGGCCCTTACTGGAACTCCCAAAAAACTCTTCTGCCTGGCTTTCATAGGGCTTGTTCCCAGGAAGAGCTGCCCTGGTGGCTTACCTCCCATCCACTTCCCCGTGCCTCTTGCTTTGTCTTATTCTGCTTCTGTTAAGCAGGGTTCTCTAAAAGCAGAATGGGAGTCAGGGAGTTTGGGTGAGCCTGAACTATAATTCATAGGAAGAGAACCTGCCCATAAAAATATGGTGGCAGAAGTGACATGGGGGAGGAATAGAGAGAGTATTGAGTGAAGCTTAGTCTCAGGCAATGGGCAGCAGAGGCTTGGGACTGAAACCAGCATGGAGGAACCAGCCTTGTATATTGCTGTGTTATTCTGTCAGTGGCTGGGTTGCCCCAGCAGGTGTGGAGGCCTCCTGTCTGTGGGCAACTTTCAGAGGGAAGGAGCTGTGATCTAGCAGCCCTGAAAAAAAGTACGTGGCTATACTGCAGATCTGGTGGCCTGTGCATCCACGGAAGCGCTCAGCAGCTAACCATAACATGCCTCCCATCTGCTTGGTTCTCTCAGGAAGATCACTGCATTCAGGTTTGTCTGCTCTCTGGCTCCATACTCCTAATCCCTGAGGAGTCTTTCAGAGAGGTTATCAGAACAAACGCTAGCTCCCACCATCATAACTGGCCTCTCCTCTCAATCATGTTGAATTCTTTGACCTCTGTGGTCTACTCTGGGAAGCTGACTCTGACCCTCAGCCCTCAGGGATCTGACACCAGGTTTCTATGTCCTTCCTTGGCCATAGTTAATGAACCTACCCATTTTCAGTCCAAACAGCACCAGGGAATGCCTCAGTAGGGGTCTGGGTGCCAAGTATTTTTTCCTCAGATTTACACATTTCTCCCCTCTGTCTTAGTCACTGTTCTATTGCTATGAAGAGACACTATAACCAAGGCAGCTCTTACAAAAGAAAGCAGTTAAATGGGGGCTTGCTTATAGCTTCAATGGGTTAGTCAATGACTGTCATGCTGGGATGCAGACAGGCCTGGCCCTGGAGCAGTAGCTGAGGGCTTTCCAAGCTGATCTGCCAGCAGCAGGCAGGGGACTGAGAGAGCCTAGGCCTGGTGTGGGCCTGTAAAGCCTCAAAGCCCACCTCAGTGACATACCTCCTCCAATAAGAACATACCTCCCAATCCTTCCCAAATAGTTGTACCAACTGCTGACTAAGCATGTAAACATCTGAGCCTATGGGAGCCTTTCTCATTCAAACGACCCCACCATCTCCCCAGCTCCCCCACATTATACTTTCATAGCTTTGATTGTACCAGCGCATGAGAGGTAATTTTGGCTACATGGTCTCTTGATGCTCTGTGATGAGGTGTTCCACCTTTCCTCAGCTTGGCTGCATGCCAGAAGCTGGGCCTAACCTACGAGAGAGGCATGGCTTCATTCTAGAGAACATGCTGTCTTTCTTTGACCTTTTGTTAGAAAGCCCATATGGTACTTTCCCTCTTATGGAACCATAGATATGTTAGATAATATGGCCCTAGCTGTGAGATGGCTCTTAGTGCATCCTGGGTAAGTTGCAGGCACTTTCTTGCTTTTGGTTTTTACTTAAAACTAACAGTTTTCAGTGTATAGTTTGTAGCATGGAATAAATATGGCAGAACAATATTCCCTGGTGTGCAATACAATGTCTCCAAAGCTCAAAGGCATTTTACATCCTTAAATAGAAAATACAAAGTACAGCAGTTTTTCCTTTACTTGAGAGGGAGTGTACTGGAATGCCTCAAACCTAGAGCAAGTGTGTGTGTGTGTGTGTGTGTGTGTGTGTGTGTGTGTATACACCTTTAAATCATTGAAGCATTTATTTGTCATACTCAGAAGGACATGTATTTTATGAGGCATCCAGAGT